TTACTGTGGCTTGGGTAACAAGGTAATTGTAGCCTCATAAGAGTTTGGCAATGAACCTTCTCCTTCTATTGTGTGGAACAATTTGAGGAGTATTGATATTTGTTCTTCTTTAAATGTCTGCACTGAAGCCATCTGGCCCTGGGCTTTTTTTTTTTTTTTTTTTTTTTGGTTGGAAGACTTTTGATGACTACTTCTATTTCCTTAGGGGATATAGGCCTGTTGCTTATCTGTTCTTGATTTAATTTTGGTAGGTGATATCTGTCCATAAAATTGTCCATTTCCTTTAAATTTTCCAATTTTGTGGAGTACAGGTTTTCAAAGTATGACCTGAAGATTCTCTGGATTTCCTCAGTGTCTGTTTATGTCCCCCCTTTCATTTCTGATCTTGTTAATTTGCATGTTCTCTCTCTGCCTTTTGGTTAGTTTGGATAAAGGTTTTTCTATCTGGTTGATTTTCTCAAAGCACCAACTCTTTGTTACATTGATTCTTTGAATTGTTTTCTTTGTTTCAACTTTATTGATTTCTGACCTCAGTTTGATTATTTCCTGGTATCTACTCCTCCCAGGTGAATTTGCTTCCATTTGTTCTAGAGTTTTCAGTTGTGATGCCAACTCTCTGGTATAACTATTCTCAAGTTTCTTCATGTGAGCACTTAGAGCTATGAACTTTCCTCTTAGTATTGCTTTCAAAGTGTCCCATAAGTTTGGGTATGTTGTGTCTTCATTTTCATTGAATTCTAGGAAGTCTTTAATTTCTTTCTTCATTGACCCAGGAGTCGTGCAATTGCACATTGTTCAATTTCCATGAGTTCGTAGGTTTTCTGCAATTTGTGTTGCTCTTGAATTCTAACTTTAAAGCATGGTGATCTGATAAGACACAGGGGGTTATTCCATTTTTTTGTACCTGTTGAGGTTTGCTATGTTGCTGAGTATGTGGTCGATTTTAGAGAAGGTTCCATGTGGTGTTAAAAAGAATGTATATTCTTTTGTGTTTGGATGGAATGTTCAATAGATGTCTGTTAATCCCAATTGGGTCATAACTTCTGTTAGTTCCTTTGTCTCTTTTTAAAGTTTCTGTCTGTTGGTCCTGCCCAGTGGTGAGAGTGGGTTGAGGTCTTATTTGTGATTTGAGTTTTAATAATGTTTCTTTTATGAACGTTTATGCCTTTGTATTTGGGGCATAGATGTTTAGAATTGAGACTTCTTCCTGATGGACTTTTCCTGTGATGAATCTGAAATGACCTTCTTCATCTCTTTTGATTGAAGTCTAATTTGTTAGATACTAGTATAGCTACCCCAGCTTGTTTCTTGGGTCCATTTGATTGGAGTATCTTATTCCAACCCTTTACTCTGAGGTAATGTCTGTCTTTGAAGTTGAGGTGTGTTTCTTGTATGCAGCAGAAGGATGGATTCTGTCTTCGTATCCATTCTGTTAGCCTGTGTCTTTTTATAGGCAAATTAAGACCATTAATATTGAGGGAAATTGAGGACCACTGAATGCTTATTCTTGTTTGTTTTTTATTTGTTGTTGATAGAGGTATTTTGTGTGGATTTACCCTGATTTTTCTTTTGGCTTTTGGTAAAGTGGGATTATCTATTGCCTATGTTTTTGTGAGTGTAGTTAACTTCCTTAGGTTGGAGTTTTCCTTCCAGTACTTTCTGTAGGGCTGGATTAGTGGTTACATATTGTTTGAATCTGGTTTTGTCGTGGAATAACTTGTTTTCTCCATTTAGAGTGATAGAAAGCTTTGGTGGGTATAGTAGTCTGGTTTGGCATCCATGTTCTCTTAGATTTGGTAGAATATCTATCCAGGTCCTTCTGGCTTTCAGAGTTTCCATGGAGAAGTCCAGTGTAATTCTGATAGGTCTGCCTTTATATGTTACTAAGCTTTTTTCCTTTGCTGCTCTTAATATTCTTTCTTTATTCTGTATGTTTGGTGTTTTAATTATTATGTGATGATGGGACTTTCTTTTGTGGTCTACTCTATTTGGTGTTCTGTAGGCTTCCTGTACTTTCATTGGCATGTCTTTTTTTAGGTTGGGAAAGTTTTCTTCTATGGTTTTGAATATGTTTTCTGCACCTTTGAGTTGGATTTCTTCACCTTCTTCTATACCTATTATCCTTAGGTTTGGTCTTTTCACAGTATCCCATATTTCCTGGATATTTCGTGTTAAGGATTTGTTGGACTTAAGATTTTCTTTGCTTGATGAATCTATTTCTTTTAGTTATCTTCAGAGTCTGAGATTCTGACTTCATCTCTTGTATTCTGTTGGTTATACTTGCATCTGTGGTTTCTGATTGTTTACTCAGCTTTTCTATTTCCAGCATTCCATCAGTTTGTGTTTTCTTTATTGTCTCTATTTCAGTTTTCAGGTATTGAACTATTTTCTTCAGCTGTTTAATTGTATTTCCCTGGCTTTCCTTGATTTCTTGCATCTTTTGGTTTGTCTTTTCTTCTATTTCTCTGAAGGATTTCCTCATTTTTTCTCTTTGGGTCTCTATCATCTGCATGAAGTTGTTTTTAAGGTTGCTCTCTTCTGCTTCATCTGTGTTGGGATGTTCAGGTCTTGTTGGTGTAGAGTCCCTAGACTCTGGTGGCATCATATTGGTTTTTCTGTTGTTGGCTGTGTTTTTATATTGTCGTCTTCCTATCTCTTCTCCCAGTGGGTGCAGGTGGTGTCTCTTCCTTTCCTGGTGTGTACGGGTCCAAGGTTCTCTTCTGGTGGATTCAAGAGTGTCTGATACTCTGATGGGTCTCAAGGTGGATGTAGGCCGGTCTGAGGCACTCCTTGTCCAGGTGGGTGGGAGCAGGACTAGCACAGAGATGTCAGCAGATTCAGGGTTGCTTGGTCCTCAGGGCTGAGTCAACCTGCCTGTAGACCCCAGGATGGGAGTTCCCCGTACCACATTTTCTTTATCCATTCTTCAGTTGAGGAGCATCTAGGTTGCTTCCAGGTTCTGGCTGTTACAAATAATGCTGCTATGAACATCGTTGAATATGTCCTCATTGTATGAACGTGCATCCTTTGGGTAAATGTCTAAGAGTGGAATTGCTAGATCTTGAGGTCAACATATTTCCATTTTTCTGAGAAACTGCCATACTTATTTCCAAAGTGGCTGTACAAGTTTGCATTCTCACCAGCAATGGAGGAGTGTTCCCCTTTCTCCACATCCTCTCCAGCATAAACTGTCCTTGGTGTTTTTGATTTTAGCCATTCTGACAGGTGTAAGATGGTATCTCAGAGTCGTTTTGATTTGCATTTCCCTGATGGCTAAGGATATTGAGCAATTTCTTAAGTGCCCTTTGGCCATTTGAAATTCCTTTATTGAGAATTCTCTATTTAGATCTGTACCCCATTTTTAAATTGGATTATTTGGTGCTTTGTTGACTACTTTCTTGAGTTCTTATATATTTTGGAGATCAGACCTCTGTCAGATGTGGGGGTTGGTGGAGATCTTTTCCTTATCTGTGGTCTGCAGTTTTGTCTTGTTGACTGTGTCCTTTGCCTTACAGAAGCTTTTCAGTTTCAGGAGGTCCCATTTATTAATTGTTGATCTCAGTGTCTGTGTTACTGGTGTTATGTTCAGGAATTGGTCTCCTGTGCCAATGCATTCAAGGGTACTTCCCACTAAGAAAGTGATTATAGTAAGTGACAAAACCTAGCTAAATTATGATTGGTTTAAAAGAAAAATTTTAATATTGTGATTAGATTTAATTAAATTTTAAATGTTGGGATTATTGATTGAGAGAAAACAAAGTCCTAAACATGCCTAGGCCTTATTTCACTCTGTAGGATTCAATCCTAGGAATGACTGATCACTCTTTCTGTAACAAGGACTGAAGAGCAAAGCATGGGAGTCACAGCAATATTAATTGAGAGAAATAAGAGACTAGTGAGAAATATAGAGTCAGGCACAGGGTTCGAATCTGACACAAGGTGCTGGCTGAATGACTTTGAAGTCGTTTGATCTCTTGTATCTTCTTTTTTCCTAAAAAAGAAGCTAAAGACTCCTTCAGTCTGTTGTGAGAATAAAATACGTTAGGGCACATAAGATGCTTAGAAACTAATTGTTCTAATGGTAAAAGGATGTTAGATATTATTCTAGATATCAATGTAAACATCAACTGTAACAATTCAACCAAGGGGAAAGGACCCATATTAGAACTTTGGTAAAACCCATCAGACTTGGATTTTTTTCAGAAAGAAACATTTTTTAAAATAAGCTTCTTGTTGATTTACATATGAATGTAAGGAATGGTAAAGAGACACTGATGTATCTTTTGTTCCATTTCTCAAAATATGAACATTTCGATGGGTGTTGGTGGCGCACGCCTTTAATCCCAGCACTCGGGAGGCAGAGGCAGGCAGATCTCTGTGAGTTCGAGGCCAGCCTGGTCTTCAGAGCAAGTGCCAGGATAGGTTCCAAAGCTATACAGAGAAACCCTGTCTCGAAAAACCAAAAAAAATGAATATTTTATAAGTATACTGTCACATACCTACTAGAAAACTGACAATGGTGCAATCCAGATTTTAAAATGGATTTCACAAGTTCTATATGCACTCAAGTGTGTGTGTCGTTTTCAGTTATTTAAACCTGTTATTTATCAGGAACGTCAAATAGAAAATTGGGCCATTAATTCAGTTTTACGAATGACACTTGAAGGCTGTTTTTTACTTTCATGTAGATCACACAATTGAGTGTTACTACCAAAATATGAAGAGCGGCCATCTAATGGAAATTCAGCTACCTGGATTTGATCTGTTGCTCCTGTGTATGATCCCTTTTCCCTCCTCTCTACTTCTTTGCCCTCAAAGTTTAACTCTACATTGAAGAGCTAAGATACATGGGTAGGAAGGTTAAAGAAAATAACCAAAACACAAGTTCATACCTCATAGCAACCATTTAGAGAGATTCTAAAAGCTTAATTCTTCTAAATGTAGATTTTAAATAAAGGTTTTGTCATCATACCAAGTGGCCTTTTAATCTGGATTTCTTTTCAGTCCAAGCTGGGTAAGGTGATTTGATCCACAAAGGCAGAGAAAGCTCTGCACACCTGTTCAGCTTTACCATATAGCTCCACGTCTGCTGAAGGCTTTGGACCTGAAATCAGCAAGCAAAAACAAACAAAACCTTTTATAAAAATACATCTTCTGGATTCTGAAGATCTGTGTAGCTGCAGCTCTCACCCACAGAGAAGAATCAGATCCCATCTTCTCTCCATTCCCTTTCTCTCAATAGAGAAGACAACCAGTTCTTCATTTACTACGGTCTGTCCTACTAGTCCATCCTGGCTGCTAGAGTGAATCTGTGGAACTAGAGAGCCTGCTTCAGAGTGCTTTCATAGGAACATTGCTGCATATCGTTTCATGGATACAACTTCCCTGTTGTATATAGAAGACACTATCTCACAGCAGATGTCTTGTGCCGGGGTACAGCCTCAGCTAGGGTTCATGTCCTCAGGTGGGAAAGGGGCATTGGTACAAGGAAAATTTCTGACCACCAAGTGGATTGCACTTAAGTGGCTCCAAATAACTCAGGCCATCTTTATTTTTTCTTAAACAGAGTTTTCTTGCCAGGGTTGCATGAACAGCTTTATTATTGGCTTTCATTTTTGATTTTAAGAAATACGTGACAGTTTAAGGAATGTACAATGATCATTATGAAACCCCCATGGTTCTCCTTTATGTTTCCCCAATACACCTTCCCACCCCCTGTATAATCTTATTCTAGACATCAAGTTCAGCATGTTTGGAGGCCTTAACTAAATATCGAGCCAGACACATTCTGCTCTCACAGTGCTTATGTCAGCTAGCAGCTACTTGCAGTCACAAAGTTAAAAAGTAATATAAATGGGCTCAATGCTTAAGGTGCCATGGGTGCAGCTGGCTAAGGAGTTATATTCTGAGACCACCTTCCTGCAGTTAACAGAAGACACAGACCCCCAAAGAAGGCCACAACTCATCAAAATGCAAAGAGCCCAGACTCAGGTGATCCATAACACAGTACAACCTCTATTCCTAAGGCTCAGGGGCATTATGGAAGAGCGGGTAGAAAGAATCAGAGGACCAGGACTGTCAGAAGCCTGCAGCCTAGTCTCAGGTCATCATGACTACCTTTTCAATGGGTTCCCTTGAGCAAGGTACCCGTAGAAATGGACTCTCACTTGGCGAGGACAGCATAGGAATTTGCAAAATTCATTTAGCTTGCAGGCTCATTTCTCACTCATTATATTGGTGATTCTTTGGGCAGTTTTTAGTTTTACTTTGTCAGTCACACATGCAACAGCTGTAATTTTCCCTGGAAATTCTGTTCTTTCATGAATGTTTCCCCCTAAGATTCAACAGGGGACTACTATTTCTCAAATATACAACTCCTAATCCTGGAATCTTTTCTGACTCAACAGAGATAGTTAGGTACATATGTGAAAACAACACTTGGAACATTAACCATGTCTCAGAGCTCTGGAAAGGAAAGTAGGGCATGCATACACAGAACAGGGAAAAGACCTCAGGAATACACGGAGTGCCAACTGTTGAGAGTAAGTTCCCTGGGCACCAATCATATAGAATCAATGATAAGATCTAGTATATTCTGATGGGAATAATGCAATGTGAAATACAGGATGGAGAGATCCATCTTTACCATACACAGGATCTTCTACTTGTGGAAGAAGTACGGTATAGTGAGAAGGGGAAAGAGTGCTTTGTCAAAGTCCGCATTGACATAGGGCTTGAGACATGGGATCCTCTTGTAGAAAAGGGAACTGTATAAAAAATACATCTTGCAGACATGAAAGAATTGTTTGGTATTGAACATTATTTAAGACCTGAACAGTGACATCAGTTAAAATGCCCCTCATGGGGGGGGGAGTCCATCCCTGCACGAAGAGTTACAAGCAATTAATGGCTACTGAGAGAGGAAGAATTAGTGGTCTCCAAGGACAAGCCCCCTAACTGATTATCTAATACCAAGTAGTCAATCCTAAAACATATACATACAGCAACACTACATGGACTTAGTGGCTTGTGTTTATACACTTGTTCATGTTATACATGGCAATATTAATAATCAAAGTATATATATATATATTAGACTAAAAATAATTTAATTTAAAAAAGGATTCAAGTGTTTCCCACAATCTGTTGTAATAAAGATTGTGTTGTAGTAGTAACAGAGTTTGGCACTGTTAAAAACTTTGATGTGTCTTTAATTTTTAAAAAAATCTGTTCTTATTTATATTTAATCATCCCCTAACATGTAGATAAATTTTAAAAATGAAACATCCTAAACTTCTAAGAATAATTATCTATAAGAAACAGGGTCAGTGAAGGACATGCTAATAAACTAACAATTACAAAAGTTGCATACTTTGGCATTTTGCTTTACAGTCAACACATATTACCATATGATTGAGAAGAAACAAGATCATAACAGGAAGACTCAGAAAATCTTTGGATAGTCATATAGTTATAGTGTAACTGTATCTTCACTATTTTCTGTGGGATTCAAGATGAGAACAAACCATCACCATTACTCTTTGAACCCTCTCACATTGCTCCAGGGATACAAGGACCTTGAATAAACCATATTTCGTTACCTGACTAAAAGACTTATTTTCCAGCAGACAACCAATTTTAAGATATTATTTCTTTCCAAAGTAATACAAAATTTAAAATTACATTTATTGAATTGTTTTCTTATTTGTTTGCCTGTGTGTGTGTGTGTGTGTGTGTGTGTGTGTGTGTGTGCACATGTGTGAGTGTGCACCTCAGCACATGTGTAGACCAGAGGAAAACTTGCAGGGTTCAGGTTCCATTCTCTCCTTCCACCACGTAGGTTCCAGAGATGGAATACAGGATGTCAGTCTAGGTAGCAAGCTGCTAGACCTGTTGAATCACCTCTTCTGTTCCCCAATAAAAACATTAAATGTAGTGATGCAGAAACAGGACAGCCGAAATCCACTTCATACATGAGAATTTGTCTTCCTGCTCTTCTTAGCTCCATTCTCTCAAGACTATGTTTTTAAAATATCGAAAGATAGGACGTACCATCTAGCTCTGATGGTCCAGAAGGAATCACAATAGCAAAATTATTTGCTTAACTGTAATTTAAACCAGGAATGTGCTCGAAAGCTATCAGTAGTAGATTGGAGACTAGGAACTATTGAACCATCTGGTCTTCTGGGTAACTGAAACACTGAGCCCGTGTCCTTCTGAGAGCAATCATGCCAGCCAACGGGATGCACATCCCATTTCAGTATTGTGGTATTCTGTATTCCTCTCTAATAAATTTACTTTCACCAAATGACTTCTGGGGATAGAATAGTTTTGGCTGGTAGTGCTCTTTTTCTTTCAGCATTTTTAATACATCGGATGATTTCTCCCTAGCCTGAGAAATATATTTATTGTGCTATGAGGATCACTTGCCATGTTTAAAACTTTCTTTTGTATTTAACTCCTGACAATTTGATTATAATGTGTCTTGTTTTGTGGCAGACTCCTTTGAGTTTGTCTAATTTGGGGTCTTTAGGGCTTCAGTCTTTGGCACTCTGTTGTCTGTCTTTCCAGTACTTAATGTTTTGGGCCATTGTTTCTTTAGCTATGCTTTCTGTCCTTCTCTGTTCTACACCTAGAACATGTGTAATAGGTAAAATGGTGGCTCCAAGGCATCTTGTATCTCTCTTGGACTTTATTCATTCTTCATTTTTCTCCTCTGGCTAACTTCAGATACTTTCTCTTCAGCCTGATTCTATTTCCCTTTCACTGAAGTTTTTTTTAATCTTCTTTTTTGAGTTTTTGTTTAGTTCCACACACTTTGCTCATTGTTAAAATTCTCATTTTTCATGCAATGATTGCCTGAGCTCGTTGATCATCTTTCTGACAGTTTATAAATACTTTAAATTCTAGGTTAACATACAAAGTAACCTTACCGAATTTTTATAGATGTGGCATTAAGCTTTGTTCCTGTTCATTCCCCTTCTCCACTACCCTTCCTCTTCCACCCTTCCCCCTGCTGGTTGCCTTTCTTCCCTCAGATGATTCCACTTCCTGCTTCCGTATTACATGTTTTCCATTTTGAATTCTCTGCCAGGTGACTCATACATTTCTCCTTCATTAAGGTCCATTTCTGGGGCTCTCTCTTGTTGCTTTGACTAAGTTTCTCATCTTCTTCCCCCACCCCTTCCCCTTTGTGTTTAAAAAAAGATCACACAGCTGGGAAAAAATCACAATGTCTCCTACTCTTCATTCAGTCTCATACAAGTTCTTCATGTATTTTCATGAAAAAAGCCCCAGTAACAGGTCTCATAAACTGTGTTAGGAACATCTCAAATCTTCCCATTAGTCCCGGCTTTCTGTTTTTGTTAAAAGCCTTCAGACTGTAAAATCATAGTTCCTTTCATTCCTGCAAGACAGATTTTTCTTTTTTAACAAAAGTTCCTATCACTGTCATCACCACCACCACCACCACCACCACCACCACCACCAGAGCCTATGCCTCATGTAAAAGCATCTTATTGACTGTAATTGGAAACATACGAAATCTTGGGACTGCCCTGGCTGTCCTGGAATCACTCTGTAGACAAAGCTAGCCTCAAACCCGCAGAGATCTGCTTTCCTTTGCCTCCAGAGTACTGCAATTAAAGGCGTGCACCACAACTGAGTGTGAGGAAGGAGCCTTGGCCAAGTGCCTTCATGTTGGCCCATCTAGTGTTTGCTTTTAAGCCATGCTACTGCTTCTGCCATACATCTTTGTCTTCCTGGCCTACAACAGAAACAAGCATTGCAAATGGAGGGTAATGCAGCTGAGCGAAAATAAAAGAATTCACCAGATGTGCATGAGACCTCATCTCGAATGGAAAGAAATAATGAAATAATAAAACCAGAGGTTATATGATTTTCTTTTATCATAGATGGAAAGAATAGTAAACATTTCTTCAATTTCTTCAATTCTAATTTTTTCTGAAAGTTTTATCCTAATTCATTTGCTACTAACTTTCAACATTCAGAATTTAAATCGATTTGGGGACTTTCTTATGTACCCCTTCTCATTGTCTCTCTCTCTCAATTATAACTCCCATGGTCTCTTTATCTTAGACCTTGATACTGAATCATTCTATTCTGTTAATGTAAATGGAGGCCTCAAAATGATAATTTAACTGTATTTTCTACATGTTCATGCGTGTGGTTGTCATACATCTGGCTCTGATTAACTTTATTGTAATGTTGGTAAGTCTGCATAGATAATATATAGGTTATGGATATTATTTTTATATAATCTAAACTACCAATGGTGAAGTGGAATTGAAAAAAGATTATACTCACACCAGATTGAAATAAGAATAAAAATTTAAATATAGGATTGGGGATGTGGGTACAGCTCTTGCTTAGCATGCACAAGGCTGTGGTTTGATCCCCCAGACTATACCAATTGGGAATAATGACACACATTTGCAACCCTAGCACTGGGAAAGTAGAGGATGAAGAACTAGAAGTTCAAGGTCATCTTTCGATATATAGCAAGTTTTAGGTCAGTCTGGGCTACATAAGACCATGTCTCAAAATAAACAAAAAGAAAAAAAAAAACCCTTTAGAAATACTTGAGTGAGAAATACTATCCACAAAGTTAACACACATCCTCATGCCTTACTCTTGAGCCACGTAAAGAAAGATGACTAATACAGAAAAAGACAATAAGTTTAAAACTTAAAAATTAACATTTTAGTGGGATTTGGAGAGACTGATCAGTGAGTAAGGATACTTGCTGCAGAAGCATGAAGACCCAAATTCAAATCCCTCACGCTCACATGAAAATCTGGTCATTGCTGTGCACAGGTGTAAGCCTGGCACAGTGGGAGGTGGAGATAGAAGCATCATTAGCACATGTTGGGTGCCAGTCCACCTCCAGATTCTGTTTGAAACCCTGTCTTGAGGGAACAAAGTAAAGAGTGATAGAGTAGGAATCTCGATGTTCTTTTCTGGCCTTCCTGAGTGTCTGCAGGTACACTTACCATCAGACACACCACAAGTGAATATTTCACACACACAGAAGAAAATTAGTATTTTTTGAGTCATAAGAATATTTGTATAATAATAGTGCATACTTCCCATAATAACATCTCTGCAGTTGTACTGAGACTGTGAGTGGAAGGAAGCAGGTGAAAATTTGACATTTGAAAGGTACTTTTCAAAAGATTAGATAGCTCTCATTACACATTACACATTATCACATCATCAAGACTTAGAAATGCACTTACTCTTTTATAATTTTCTTTTAAATTTTATAATTTTCTTTTAATGGTATAATGATGATAAATACACATAAATATATTTATATAGAGACCTTGATAAAGTCACATTAATATGCATTAATTTTCTACCCTTAGGTATGAAACTGGACAAATGTTAAAATATTAAAATATAGACCTGGACTATGAGGAATTTAAGGTATACACTGTAGAGACTGCAATTGTGAGGGCTGACCCAATAAAAAGTTTAAGAATTCAGAAACCTTCATCAGCTTACTTGGAAAACAGAAACAAAGCAAAAAGCAAGGTAAAGATATAAAAAACTAAAATCTTTTCAATTAAGACCAATTGACCAGTGACATTTTCCTGAAAAGGTGAAGTGGATATTGACTTTGTTTTGAATACTCATCTTGATCCCAAGGATGCTTAGGCAGAACTTCAGGGCATGGTATTTTGTGCTGGTCTAAGAATACAGCATGAAGAGTTTTCATCCTGTCTTTGTCCTATGCCCCTGACATCTCTGAGAATTCATTACTGTTTATACTATGACTATGACTTCAACTCTATTTACTACAATACTTTCTGTTTCATTGACCAGGCTCTGCCAAATAATATAGAAAGTTGACATCACTAGGTTATAGCTCTATAGCCTAGGCATCCCTTCTACCCCCTCTACTCTCCTCTTTTCATCCTGCCCTGCCTACCCTCCAAACCTTCCCCTCTTTACTTTTGCTTCTTCCTTTTGCACTTAAAAACATTTCTTCTTTACTCATATTTCTTTGTGTGTGTTTTTTTTGCTCAAATTTCCTCCTCTGTATTGCTGTATGGTATCTGTAGAAAACCAGTATGTTAAAGAATAACTCTGTTGAGAGGGCCTTTTCCAGCATAGAAAAGACACACAAATACCATTTTCACTCTACCAAAAGTCTCTAGATTATGCAGATTTCCTATTGAGAAACTGTTACCACAGCAAATATCTATCTATATATGTTCTAAATAGAAAGAAGATGGTGTGACTAAAAATAGTGTTTTAGTAGAGGACCAAAAGCCTTCATAACTTAACAATGAGTTACAGCTGGCAATGATGATAATGATGGTACAACTCAGGACAAAGAAACATCAGCCAGCCCAAAACAGGAGCATTGTCATCCTCATTTTTTTTTTAGTTTTTCGAGACAGGGTTTCTTTGTGTAGCTTTGGAGCCTATCCTGGCACTTGCTCTGGAGACCAGGTTGGCCTCAAACTCACAGAGATCCGCCTGCCTCTGCCTTCCAAGTACTGAGATTAAAGGTGTGTGCCACCAACGCCTTCATTTTAAAATGTCGTCCTCATTTTAAAATGGTGACTTTGAGCTCCTCAGTTATGTGTAATTTATGGTTACTAACAATGATTGTGCTTTCAGAATAATTGCTATGTGCTATATGTTACAGTAAAGTCTCACATGTTTGACAACCTTTAGTGCTCATGGTGATCTTAGGAGTTAGCCAATGGCAGTAACTGAATTCCAAAGCTGAGTAATGTTATGAAGCTCAGTGTTTTAACAGTCACCCTGAGTTCCTGGCCATCCCTGCCTTTTGGCTGTGAAGAACTTACTTGATCAGTACTCCTCAGGGCAGAGGTATACCTCTGTGAATTCAAGGCCAGCTTGGTCTACATAGACAGGTCAACCAAGCCAGTCAGAGCTATATCCTGAGACCCTGTCTCAAACAGACAGACAAACAGATAAACAACAATCACAACACAGCACCTCAAATGACAAAATCCAAAGTGCACCTCACCTGTTGTGTCTAGGTCGAAGACATCCAGGAGTCTGGGCAACAGTGTTTGCAGTTCCTCACCTTCCAGATCAATCTTTTCACTGATGTGGTCTATCTGTTTCCCTGCTGAAGGTGCCAGAGCAGGGCTGCTCACTTCAGCAGGAGGAATCTGGGGATTGTCTTGCATTCCCTTCTGGCAATCAGATGGGGAGGTATGGCCTTCCCTTAGCATCTTTTGTGGGTGGCTTTGTGTCCCGGTGCTCTGAAAAATGATCTCTGGGGATTGAGAGTCTGGCAGAGTTTCACCTGAACTTACTTTACATTTGAGATTTCTGTCAGCCTTGGTAGAGTTAGGGAGAAGTTCCCATTCCGGACCAACCCTAGTGACACTCTTGATGTGGGATGAGTTCCCTCCTCTCCATAGCCCATCATCGGGTAAAGAATGGTCAATCTTGGATGCTGTGTTTTGAGATGAAAGTGAAGGATGGCATGGTCGCAACATAGCCTGGGTAAAGAAAATCTCCCTTAGGAAGAAATAACTCTTACTTTTTATTGTATTGCATTTTAACACAATGAATTATATTTCATAACACATTATATTTCAGTGCATTACACAAATGTATTACATTTCAACATTGCAACACTTGGGGCATGCTTTTTGCTTCACTCTTGATGTTACAGTAATTTTATTTTATTCTGTTCAATACGAGTTTAAAACTCTGTAAGACTGGCATAGCTCATGTTGTAAATGTCGAAGGAATAACACCAGAAATTTGGAAAACCCATCTTATCCTGAACACGTCTGGCCCTATAGGTGTCTTAAGGAATTTCTGAAAACATACACTCATGGTGATTGACAGGCACAGATTATTACAATAAAGCATTGTCCTAATGAAAAGCCTCAGAGATATGCTTTGAGGGACTTCATGAGAAACTAAAGGTATAAAAATTTAGGGATGTGTTCCACTGTTTTCAAGGTTGGGCCTGGGGTCCTCAAGATCCTAGGGATTCTTGTAGGAATCTGTGGAGTAAAATTATTTCTATAATGATTTTTTGCGTTGTCTATCTATTGCACTGACGTGCATGGATGGTTCACAATCAGCAATAAATGTAGCCATCACAGCCTCAGCATGAGTCCGGGGGGACATTAACAAAACTCATATACCACCAGTTAAAAAGTAGACAGCTTCATGTAATATCTGTGGCATAGCATAAGCTCCAGATTTTCTTAATAATCTGTCTTTTCAATATTGTGTGTAGTGAAACGGAAAGTCCCCATATAGTATTTCAGATGTGACCTGAAACACACATGTTGCCTCTTGTACCAAGGGAAAACTGACAGATTATAACCAGTTAGATCAGGGTATTAGGAAATGATTTTCTGGGGGCGAGGGAAGAAGAAACAAATGAACATGACATTGCAAAGAATATTATTAACTTTAGTTGCTGTCATTTATAACAGTCAAGTTCAAGCAATAATTAAAATTTTAGAAAGCTTGTATCTGCCACGGGTGAGTGGAATAGCTGTTCAATTCTTGAATGTTTTTTCTGACAACATCATTGGGGAAACAGAATGTGAGAAATTCTCTTCTTATCTTTCTTTCTTAAATAAAAAAAAGTCTTGTATAATGAAATTGGCAAGTCCTAGGAAGCTCAGCAAAGCTCAGTGAATCAATATTCCACATGATGTGGCCAATATATGTTACAAAATGAAACAGGGATAGTTCCACTCAGAGATCGGCTATAACACCGGGGATTTTAATAAAGTCGAATATGAAACATCTGGTTTTAGATTTCATAATGCACCTATCCTTTAAAAAACAATTGCTTTTTATGTTTGATGTTGTGTCACTGAATAATACCTTAGTTAAGTGAAAGGGTACAGAAAGATGTCTTTCTTTCCTTTAAGTGCACCACTATGTGAGACTGGATTTCTTCACACGCATTAAATAAACCCGGCATAATAGATTGCTCGAAGTGAGGAAAGATCGGCTGTCTTTCATTAAGTCAGACATTATAGATATTTAACAAAGGAAACAGACCACTGATTCTTTTCTAGGCTCTAAAAACACCCGGCTGTGGCTTGAAAAACATTATACATACAGTTGTTTATCAATTTCATATCTCAGTTAGTTAATGACTGTGTTTTTGAAACACTTCTCCATTTTTTTTCTAGATGGGATAAAAATAGCAGCAGATATAACCTACAGAGACAAAGGCTCCTAAGAGAGAGCTCAAAAACATTTAAACATCTGTATGAAGAGATCCTGAGACCAAATGCTGTATGGGATTCTCTAATCATTATGGAGGGTAGCAGTGGGAGAAGATTGGGGGAGAGGGGAGAAGGTGGAGGAGAAGACACCAAGTGATGAGTGTGAAGCTTTGTGAAGCCACCATCCCCGCCCCCCTCCACCCGGGGCACAGCATACTTGAGATTAGATTTCCAGGCACTCCAGGTAGCCAGTGGCTCTCACATTTGTACCTGCAGGTCTTGTCTCATCTGCTGTATCTTGGTCCATAGGTTATCCTGGTTGGTTGCGAGCTCCTGAATCTTTGTTTCAAATCTGCAGTTCTGTTCCTTCTGTAAGGTGTATGTGCCTTGCAATTTGTGCTTGTATCTATTTAACTGTTTCCTAAGGAGCCTGGAAAGGAAACAGGTTGGAGTAAGAATGGAAACTCACACCTGCAGCCTAGTAGGAGCTTCACAGGTCATCTTGGGGGGTGGGTAGTCTGTGCCCTGGCTATCATCAGACTCCACCAGTACCTAAGTTGATACACACCGGGCCTGTTAGGATTACTTTGGACAGCATGGTTTGTTTACCAGAAACTTACATTTACAAAGTGACCTATTCATTATTGTGTCTAGAAATACCCCATTTGGGAAGGTAATGTCCTTAGCATGAAGGCTACAGGGAAGGCACACAGTTCATCACAAATCTGTTCATCTACACTCTTCCCAACAAGGCTTTCCTTGTCTTCCCTGCTACTTCCCTACGAAGCAGAACTCCAGTCTCATCTTTGGCACTGCCTGGACCCTTCCCTTCTCTGTTTTTCTGTATATCTAATTGCTATCAAGCTTGCTGAGAGCTCAGGTTTTTTATCTTTTCTGGCCTTAATTTCTGAGCTTATACACTCGTATACCTCATGTTTTATTTACCAATTACTAAATTATTTCACTGTCCATTGTTTTGCAATTCTGGAAACTCCCTTACCCTTGTTTATCAGCACACTTCCTGGTTCTGTCGCATGGTAGATATACAATTAGTATAGTTTTGCTCTTGGATCAGTACTGTCAGCAAGTTAACAAAATTTACCGGAGTAAACTCTCTGACGGTGAACAGAGACATTCTTCCATATCAGAACCTTTGAAATTCCTAAGCATTGTAATGCCTGGAAAGGTTTTTGGAATAAAGCTTGAGTTCCCACCAACAGCAGGTGTCTCTGAGCAGGAACCTTTAAACTTTCAGGTACACAGAAAGCCTGATTCTAAAATCCTAATTATAGTTAGAGTACCAAGCCTTTTATATGGTAGATTTTTCAGAATGGAGTCAGTCTAGGGGATTACATAACTCATAAAGCAGCATCCTCAGAGGTGTGTGGACAGGGCTGTCAACACCACAGTGTTGGGTTTGTTTTTGATCACCAGTCTCTCTCTTCCATGTGGTCCACGCCACGCATCCTTTCCACACTCTGGCCTATCCACCATGCTTAGACAGCTCGAGTTCCTCATTCTCCAACAACCCAGGGGAAAGCAAGTGAAAGCCCTATCTCTTTTGAGACAGAATCTCACTATATAACAGCCTAGAACTCCCTACATAGACCAGGTTGGCCTTGAACTCACAGAGATCCATTTGCCTCTGCCTCCCAAGTGCTGGGATTAAAGGCATGAGCCACTACATCTCGTTCTCTATTTTTTTTATTTGAAAGGGAGTATTCTCATAAACTGTTCTACTAGCTATAATCTACCTTCTACAACTATTTCTAGTAGTTTGAAACCTGTTGCTTTCCAAGCAAATGTCTGTTAACAACTTTATATTATCTGAGAAATAATTCCTTCCAAATGACCTAAAGTCTGCCCTTTTAAGGTTTCACATCTGCTATTACTAAGTAGACTGAATCCTGTGTGCATGAGACCATCAGAAGGAGTCCAAATGCTCCCAGGAAGGTTAAACACAGTGCAGTGAACACAGTTTCATGGAGTCAGAATACTGAAGAGTAAATGGGGATCACCAACAATCTGACAATGTTCTTTCAGGGGTGTCATCGGAGACTGGGCTTTGCTATACTACAGGGACTTGGCAAAGCTGGTTGTTACTTAGCTTATAGTTAACTGTCGATCTCGGGACACTTCTACTGTTTCCTGTGAACCTGGGCCTCCAACTGTGCTGCTTCTCTTCAGCCCCTCGAAGTTAGGTCTTTATTGATTGCTCCAGGAATTAAACACTAGTGATCCCAAATTGCTTATCCAACTAGTGCCTTTGATGTCATGTCACATACAGGGGAGAGCTATGTTATCAACGGTTTCATATAAGCATCAATAAAAATGGTAATCCATACAGACAAAATGTAGCCTCCAGTTTTCATTTCTTAAATTAAATCTGTCTGAAACTTTTGTATGCTTTGTAGTGATAAATACTTTATTAGGCTACCAATGATGTATACTGTAGATATGGATTTCATAACAGAGAATAACATAGCTTCAAATTATTTTCAAACAACTATATTAAGATTTTTCTATTTTGAGATAGGGTCTCACTATGTAGCCCTGGCTGTCCTGGAACTGCAAACCAGTCTGGTCTTAACTCAGACAGATCCGCCTGCCTCTGCTGGGATTAAAGGTGTGCCCTACAATGCCTGGCAAGAGTTTTTCTTTTATTTCACATTGTTTATTTATTTATTTATCTATTTATTTATTATGTGGGGGGTGGTATTGTGTGCGTGGGGGTGTCATGTGCTTAGATGGGCCCAGGTGCCACGGTGAGCTTGTGGAGATCAGAGGACAACTTGCAGTGGTCATTTCTCTCCTTACATCATGCGGCTCCCAGGGCTCAAACTCTGCTTATCATGCTTATGTGGCAAGTACTTTGTCAACTGAGCCATAGACACAGCCTCTCTACCCTCCTTTCAAGTAATGACGCCAACTGATCAAAGGTAAAATCATACCGCAGCTCCTGCCTGATATTCATTATGTGTAACTACTCATACCAAATTAGGTTGCCTTCTTTATCTTCAAATTCAAATGTAGGAGTTCTTTGCTTAAACCATTGTTCCCAATTTAATAAAAAAGGAGTTTCATTTTTTTTTTTTTCTGTAGAAAATGTCTCTATAAAAGCTCAGGGCAGAGCTCCTTGGCTTGTTTCAGCTGCTGAACACAAATCCACACATGACTCCTCCCTTTTCACACACCCACACATGACTCCAAATCCACATGTGACTCCTCCCTTCTCACACACCCACACGTGACTCCTCCCTTCTCACACACCCACACGTGACTCCTCCCTTCTCACACACCCACACATGGCTCCTACCTTCTTTCCCTGTGCAGAGTATTGATGAAGTCAGAATTTCTCCACAGTTCCTTCTTAATGCTGACAATGGTCTACAGAAGCAAGAAATTGGGAAAATGAGTTTTTAGTTTGAACTTAAGCACATTTGTAGGGGAAGCTGTAGCCACGCCTACTTAGGGGCTGGCTACAGGTGTGCCTACACACATTTTTAAAAATTGTCAGAAGAGCATGGTAATAACATATTTTTTCAAAATAAACTGCAGTTTATTTTACAAATTAACTGATGTTTGGGTTTATGTCTAAGAACAATGAGGTAAATATTTACTTACGAAAAGTATAGGCATACAGCCCATAGAGCTAATTATATATTAATATTAACACAATATATATTAATACTATATATTTAATCTTGGTAATATTTAATAAATGGTAAGCTACAATAGCCTTTCGCCCACGTTAGCTGCTGTTTGCAAAGTCATTCACAGAACACAGTAGGGTCACATTTTACTATTGGTTGAAGTGTCTGACCTCTTTCCTCACCTTCTACCTCAGTTTCCCCATTGTCTCCTACATGGATGTGCACTGACGGTCAGGACCTCCCTTTGCATTCACCAAGTCTTTTGAATGAACCATGGTGGCTTGACTCTTCCTCAGGTTTTCTCCACTGAACTTTATCACATCACACTTCCCGAACTGCCCCAAACACTTCTGTTGACCTGAACCAGCCTGGCTCAAGCTCTGGAGCACACAGACCCAGCCCATGACACCCACTCATCTGGGTAGAATATGGTTCCTCCTCTCTACATTTCCAAGCAACTATGGCTTTACTCGGAAGCCTTTTGTCCTCCTGAAAATTGCCCAGAGAGGGTCTGAGCCCAGAGGAACACTGTTCAGATGAACAAGGTGAAGAAGACAAGGAACCACAGAAAGAGGAGAGTGCGCCAGATATACACAGTCACACTTTTCTGTTGGTGTACACTCTGTGGCTCCTGAGTGACAGAACCTGCTTTTGTCATATAAATATTCAAACATAGTCTTTGAAGGAATGACCTTTATATCATTAATATAAAAACTATACTTTTTTTACATCCATGCTGTCATATGATACATAGTTTTCTGTATTTGAGAAACATTTTAGGCTTTATGTATATGGATACACAATGATATTTATAAGCTAGATATCTTAGTTTATTGAGTCATTCCCATTAAGGGACATAAAGCTGGTTTTTATTAATTTTTAAACTTTTATTATTAATTAATTAATTATGGGGGGTGTCATGGTGCCTGTGTGGAGGTCATAGGACAACTTTGTGGAGCTGGTTCCTTTTCTTCCTTTACATGGGCCCTGGCATGGAACTCAGGTTTTTTGGCTTATATGGTAAGTACCTTGACCCACTGAGCCATTTTACTGACTCTTAAGGTTGTTTTTAATGATTTAAAATTAGATGTGGTGAATAAAACTGTGAGGTTTTCTTGCACAGCTGTGTAAGGTTCTTGGGTTGTCAGTAGCGTTACACCTAAACTTACATGTATGCCCACCTCCTCAGGCACAAATGCAGAGGAAAAGGCCTGCAAAGGTATATCCCACACAGGTTACCATTGGGAAACTAGGGGCAGACTAGATCCTATAGCTGAAAAGGATTACATTTGAAGCATAGTATATTAAACTTTAGATTCTCATCTTGCTTGTACTACTAAAAACATTCTAAATAAGGTATTCGTAGGTGCATGGGTCAATATCAGTGTTTTCAATTCGATTCCATTGGTCTATCTGTCTATTTTTGTGCCAATACCAAGCTGTTTTCAGAACTATGGCTCTATAGTAGAGCTTGAAGTTGGGGATGGTGATGCCTCCAGAAGATCCTTTATTGTAAAGAGTTGTTTTGGCTATCTTGGGTTTTTTATTTTTCCATATAAAGTTGAGTATTGTTCTTTCAATGTCTGTGAAAAGCTGTGTTGGGATTTTGATGGGGATTGCATTGAATCTGTAGATTGCTTTTGGCAGGATTGCCATTTTTACT